AGTGAAAATAGGTATTTTATCAAATAAAATATTAAAAAATCGGATAAGTGGGTGTCGCTCTGCTGTACTACAGTAGGTTACAAGTGAGTCACTGAAATGGATGGTGTTAAATTTGAATTAAAAATTAGTTCTAGTTAAACCGCCGTCCTTTAACATTCGCTTCCATCATGTTGAACGCCAAGCCTGCATGCGAGCGCCACGGCCGTCCTGGAACGTCGAGCCTGCTCTTTAACCAAACCTACCTAACCGTATCCGCGAGGTATTAAACAGAGCAGTCTACCCATAGGTATTTAACGTGTTTGTGGTGTGCGAGCTTGTGAGCCGGTAATCCGCCTTGTTCGTCCTCCGTCCACGTGTCCACAAGTCGTCACGCATCGCCGCCCTTCGGTGGCAGTATGAAATGAATTACAAACTTGAACAGTTGGATAATATCCAAGTCGAGTTGCCATATTTCAGGTCTCAGTAATAGATGATAAACCTAACCTACGGGTGCCCCATTCGAAATTCTTCCAAAAAATACACCCACGTATAACACACCTACCGTTCCAAAACCTACAGTACCACCTCCCTCCCAATGGCCTAAGTTGCCGCAGGATAATAATTAATAAAAAAAAAATAGATGATAATATATTGTTATCAATATTCGTTTTATAAAATTATCATATTATATAGTGTTGTTATATTTCTTTATTTTATTCTCTTGGGCCCTATATATCATATTATATGTATACCTACAAATTATTATTAATTTTTTTTTTACGGTACTGAATACCTCTACTTTATGCCCAATTATACGTTATTATTTTAGTTCTGTTACCTACATATTTTATCCTTATAAATTTTCATAACTCATACATATTATGTTATATTGTTTACCAAATTATTCTTTTGGGCACCCTCTTTTTAGTGTTACCTAATACGGATACATTGAATTGAGTCCCAAATATTGAATTGAGTCCCGCCAATACTTTTGGGTTATCGGAGTTGAGTCCGACCAATATTTTTAGGTTGTTCGAGTTGAGTCCCTTCAGCCTATTACCACCCAGAGACACCACGTGTGAGGTTAGCCGAGTAATCTCCAAAAAAAATTGGTGATTGTTTTTTTTTAATCATAATAATAATGATAATAAGTATAAAGAGATAATTAATTAAAAATATTAAAAATAATTATTATTATGTATGATTGTATAATAGGTACACTGTTTTTTTTGGATCATATAAAAATAATAATTAGTAAAAAGAGTCAATTAAAAATAACAATAATTATGTGTAATATAATAATGTTAATAATGAAATAGTTGATAGTAAAAATTTGAATGCCATAATCTAATCATTTACCCTTTTGAAAATACTAGAGTGTTTTTGATAAAAGAATTCACCCCGTATAACCAATTATATATATATATTATTTCAAAAAGTGTAGATTTTTTGAAGAAATTTTTTTACAATAGTTTCAAGTCGCTTATAAAACAACGTTTTTATTAAAAAATTATATTTTTAAATATTTTTATCCTTATAATTTTTTAAGTTTTTTACTTTTTTTACATTTTATCTTATTTAACTTTATTTTATCTTATCTTTTATCGTATGTTCAAATGTGATAGTTGTTAAATGTTATTTGGTGCAATGGTGCATCAGTCGTGTTTGTCGCGTGTAGCAACAATGGCTCGTGTACGTAAAGATTATCGTTTGCTCAAAATTAGAAATTCTGGACAAAATTAAATTACAGCTACCAGGCTGTAATACACGTAGTCTTTCGGAAATTTTAGGAGTACCGAAATCAACAGTTTTTTAAATAAGATAAAATAGGTACATAATAAAAAAATAAAAAATATTTATATGTACTTTATATGTAAGTATTTTTATAAATAATTAGGTTATATCATGTTTTTCTTTTTGTACTATCAAATAATTTCTATAATACATTGTTTGTAATTTGTAATAATAAAAATATATAAAACAAATCAGTTTTTCAACAAATTTATATGTTGGTTTTTGTATTTCGGATTATTGGGACAACCGCTTTATTGGAACAAAATAACAGCCAACCGATGTGTCCCAATAAAGCGGAATCGACTGTACCTATTTTCACTAAGAAATTCTGTTGAAATAAAGTCAGTGGACATGGTATAGTATTAATACAATTTGCTCTGTTGAGTCTAAAACGAAAAAAAAGAAGTTTATGGTCTGATAAATAATATTAATTGTTACCTTTATATTAATATTATTTCAGTCATTATAATATTAACATCTGTTAGCCGGCGCTGTGTATATGCAATTTCGCTACATTGACGTGAAGGTGGTATTGTGGTGGTATCTTCGATCTACAGTTGTAGCATACGATACAATTTTCAATATATATGTGTTATTCACATGTCTATTAATATGTCTATGGTTATTCAGTATTCACTATTTCACTGGACACTCGGATGTGTTCGGCTGGAAGGGGTGATAAGATATTAAGGTCCAATTCCGAATTCGTGTGACCTTTGTACTATTGTTCTTATTAGTTATTATCGATTATTATGGGTATTGTTAAATTGAGATAAAATTTCGTTTTGACTTCTGGTTTTTACAGTTGGGTTGTTAAATTTCCCAGTAGCAGTAAAATGAACGAATATTTTAGCATTAATAAGTCGTAAGCGGCTTACTCAAATTAAATTCTGTAAACGTTAAAATTTTTTTTTTCAGTATGTTTATAGATTTTCGTTATCGAAAATAGGTATTGCCATTTGAAAATCGAAATTTGATAGTGTTTTATCAAATAAGGGAGTAAGTTAAAATTTTCAAAATTATAACAGTGTAAAATAGTAAAACCTAGAAAGTTTAAAAAAAAATTATTTTAAAATTCCTAATACTTCCAGAGATATTAACTGCTTCACGATAAAAAAATCACCCTGTATACTTTTAAATATCAATTGCCCATTCATGAATAATTTTTTTTAAATTACAACAAAACAACTAAAAATAAATAGTGACTCTTTATATAATTGTGAAGTATCGCCTGAAATTTGAACTTAAAATATCTATCACCAAAAAAACTGGGTTTATATATTTTTTAGATTAAATTACTAACAGGAAAGTAGAAACCTTATTTTTAATTTTCAATCCTTAGCTATACAAATTGAACAATTATACCGTTTTTAACAGCATAGTTTTTTAAAAATTTGAAGTAAATGCTTATAAAAAAATTGTGATCATACATTAATAACATTTTTAAACTGTTACCATAACAACGTATGAGGAACAAAGAATTAAGCTTTCTGACCCAACAGTAACATTATTATGAACATTTATAGAAAATCAACTAAAAAAAAAAAATCAAAACATCTATAAATCTCTTAATACGAGTCGAAATATTTTGAATATTTTATCATGTATATAAAATGATGAAATAATAATGAGCTACAAATTTCAAGTACATTTTTAATGTGTACACAATACAAAGTTCCACAAAGAAATTTAAAAAAATAATTTAAATAGTAGATTATAGATATAATTTAAGTATAGCTTAATTTTTTTATTTTAAAATAGTTAGTATAAATTATAAAAAAAACATTCATATCAAACAGGTATTGAAAATAACAAAAATATTTAAAACAATACACGTGTCATCATAATTTACACAAAAATTTGTTCATATTACTATTAACAATGAGTACTACTGTAAGCTGATGAATGATAATGATGTGGTCTATGATAGGCGCAATTAGGTGGGGGCTAGGGGGGCTATTCGTCATAGAAATTGGAAAATTTTTTTTTTTAATTAAAAGAACCTGAAATTATTATTATTTAAGTTATTATCCAGGTTGTACATTTCATAAGATGTAGATTAAAAACTTGGCAGAGGATTACAATGACACAAGAGCGATTTTCAAATTTATCAATAATTAATATTGAAAGGGATCTAACAAATAGTTTAGAGACAAAAACAATTATTGATAAATTTGGAGCAGCTCATAGAAAATTAGTATTCTATTGAATAATAACTTAATTAAAAATTAAAATATTGTAATATATGAATTTATTTATTTGTCAGTAGCCATCCGGACATCCGGTTTATAAGGTTATTGGGGTGCGGGGGCGAATTCTAGCCCCCCCAAAAAATTGATCCTAGTTGGCCTATGGATCTATCGACAACTACTCCACCATAAATTTTTAATCTTAACAATCTTTCCAAGGTCCAAGTATTGGTGTTAGGGTTGTAAATTTCAAAAGTCTTGCTACTTAAAGATCCTGTTTCTCCGCCAAAAACATACAATAAACCATCTAATACGGCTACTACTGTAAGATAATGTAATTTAAATTCAATATATTTTTACAAAGGTTATTCTACACAAAATATAATTGGCATAGTCACTACTCACCAGGTAAACATCGGGGTAAATTCATATCAGCTATAGAAGACCAAACTCCATCACTTGGTCTATAAACCTCAACACTTTTAAGAGACACCCTTTCATTAACGCCACCAATTGCGTACATAAGACCATCCAAAACCCCTACACCAACATCTCGACGACACTCAGACATTTCTGCAACCGGAGTCCATATGTCAAGTGTGGAATCATAATATTCAACAGATTTCAAACCGTTACCATTTGCAGAACCACCAACCTACACAATTTAATTAAATTACATATTGCAAATTAAAAATAAAGGAATTATATAAATATTCACCGCATATAGACGATTATTGAGTACACCAACACCCACATTACGTCTCTCAATTGTCATACTAGACACCATTCTCCATTTTTGGGTACTGACATCAAAAACCTCTACACTTTTTAAAGAACTGTTGCCATCACGTCCGCCAACCTGGAATTACAAATAATATACATTTTTAATATAAAATAAATAAAATATTGATTTAACTTACTGCATATATACAATCATCCAATACACCAACTCCTAAATCCATTCTACTAACTAACATGTTAGCCATTGGAACCCATGATGGTGATTGTGAAGATACATCAAGCATACTAACAGATTTAGAACTCGATAAATTTACACCTCCCACAGCAAACACAAATTGATCATTTATCACACCAAAACCAGCACTCATCCGACTTTCATTTAACCCTGGTGCAATCTTGCTTAGCTGGGTTGCTGGGTTATACCATTCAGTATAACACTTTGGCGATGTATTAAACACGTCAAAAGATTTACTGAACATTAGAAGAACCTAATAGAATTAAATCGACAAAATTATTGTGAAGATAAATTAATCAATTTGGAATCATACTTTTTGAAAACCATCAAACTGTCTAGGTTTAAACCTAATTGTTTTTGGAATGGTAAAATACTGAACTGATTTTTGATGATTAAAATGTAATGCTTCGATTATATAATATCTACCTAAAAAAATTATAATAATAATTCATAAAATGTATAAATTGATAATGATGGCATATTTATGAAAATAACATACATTTAAGACTATTTTTTAGAAGAGGTTCTTCAGATATATTATATAATATATCAGGCTTTAGTAATGGCAAACGTATATGTTCCATTAGCTTTGGCAAAAAATCAATTCTATGATCTGAATCATGTTTTACCCATTTGATAACACATTCAAATACCTACAGTAAAAAATATTTAAAACTAGATTAAAAAATAATAATAGTTTGTTCAACCATTCAATAGAGAATAATTATCACAGGATCCCAAAAATATAATAGATCTTTAAGATCTTATGTTCCTACTGTTTATATTAAGCAAAGGAATATTAATTAATAATTCTTATATTTGAATGGTATTAAATAATATATATTGTTTGTTATTTTTGAATACACATAAATCACAATATAGACATGCAGTAAAAGGTTTATGTGCTCCGTTTGCAAAATTGTTTGGGCCTACTGACTAATCAATGTGGTACGTGGAGGTGAAAGTTATAGAAAATTAATTACAGTCGGGGCTGACCACAAAACATTTTTATCATCAAGGAGATACAAATATACAATTGATTTTAGCTAATTTTAAAAAACGTTTTAACTATTTTAGAGTTAATTAATATTTATAGACATTTAAAATAAGAAATTGTTTTGTTTATATTCAATAACAGTCAATAAAATTATTTTCTATGGTCATCAAGATTTATTAATTTTAGTTATTTAATTTAAAAATATTATTTGTAGGAACTTAAAATTTTAAAGTATATTGTTATATTGTATGCACACAATGATCTTTTCATATGCAACTTTTTTGGAAAAATAATTAAAACTGCTCCAGAAATACAGTATTAATAATGTCTAATAGTAAAATATATTAGTTTATTAACAATATCATAAAATATACTTCTAGTAATATTATTAAACCGTATTTGCTCAGAATCGTTTTTCGTTTACAATGATTTTATATAATTGAATTCAAATATAACACATCTGATACAGTGATTCCTGTGGAGTCTAGACATCAACTGTATTGTACAACTTGTAAACCTTCATAAGTTGATTTTCCATACAAAATATTAAAAATACAATTTTTAGTTTGTTTACTTTTTCTTCAAATGGAACAGCAAGGTCATTAGAGGAAATAAGCTTCACCAAATCTTCAGAAGATAAGGACAGAAAATCTTCGCTTTTAGCTATTTCTCTGGAAATAATAAACATTATTTTTATAATAAATTACCTACTTACTCTTGATATGGAGAATTAAAAAATGTTAATCATACAAAAAATTTTGTTTAATATATGCTTCAGAAATTGACAACAAATCAGTACAGTTATATAAGTCAGCAAACGCTCTGATACCAAGACAATTTGATGGATTCAGTTGTTTTTGTAAAAACTCAGCACATACACCATTTACATAATCTAACTGCCATACATCTGCAGCTGGTAATAACACCTTAGAAATAAAAAAAAAATTCACATAAAATGATATTATGTTGTTTGAAGTCTATATAAAATTAAATATTTAATTATAGTTACCTGTACATTTTCTTTTGTGACCATAATTTCTCCAGTATAAATATAATCTACTAATAAGTGTAAAATTGAGGAATCTAATTTTCTTATATTGATAAGATCTTTATTGCTTTCTTCAAAATTACTAAACATTGCACGGAAATATGGACTAGCTGCTATTAGTACATTTTTATGTCCAATTACAATTTTACCATCATCTGCTTCAAATCTAACATCGCATAAAAACTCATTTCTAAAAACAAAAATGTAAGTGATATTTATTTTGTATGAAGGTAAAATCACTGTAAACATACCTACTTGCGTAGAGATTGTAAATTTTCCAGTATTCTTACAGAGTGAGAGTCATTTCTAAAACTTGTTGGTTCACATTCATTTGATTTCAGAATTTGCTTTAGATTATTTTCACAAGATGAAGCCTGAATGGTATCCATTTCTTTTACTGATGTGCCTAACAACTTTAAATATATTTTAAAAATTGTGATTAATTTTAATTATCATCATTGTGTTAAAACTTAATACTAAATTTAGGTGCTTTAGAGTTTAGACAGGGTAAAAAACAACATAATGTTGATGTTAAGAAATTATTAAATTATTAGTCAGATTAAATTAAAATAAGTTTTTAGAATAGGTACGAGACCTATCATTTTCTTACCTACTGCAGTTGAATTCAAATCAATTTGTGAGTTCTAGACAAAGATATGGTATTAAACTATGGGCTAATATACAAAATAAATAATCGATGTTGGTAGGGACAACTGGGATAAATTAAGTCAGAAGTTGTGAAGTAAGAATGTAAGATGGGAATTGTATGTTAGTCGTAATAAGTTCATTATATCTAAATTTATCCAACGCACATGTACCGTATGTTGAGCATATTGTATATTGTTATTTTTATTATGAACACTAATAATAATTTATTACAATAACACCAAAGTTGAGTATACTCATTAGTAATGCTCGGTTTTTGTAGCAAATGCTTCTTTTGAGGGGAGTGCCATACAAAGATAATTCTTATACACAAATACGTTTTGAATCGTTCTGATTTTAATGAAGTAAACCTTGTTTTGCTTTTTTTTTGCTTTTTCCTCAAAACCTGCTTTTTATTGCTTTTTCCTCTATTTGGTTCTTTTTTCTTAAGTTTTACATACTTTTCTTGAAAACTCAACTTATTTCTACCTATGTACATTATACTTTAACTTGGACTTAATTATTATAATCAGAAATAATAAAACCAGTGGGAAAACCAGTAATTAATGTATGACTGATAAAATAACTATGGTTATTATGCCGAAATAGTTTTATCTACAATTATCTATAGTTGTATTTACGACTCAAGGAAAGGGAAAATTATCTGAATTATACCTGCATATTTTTATTGCACGTTCTAATACTGTAGTTGGCCGGTAAAAGTATTGTGTTAGAAGAATAACAAAAGTTAGAGGAAGCTAATGGTGAAGTAGCGAAATTGATTTTAGAAAAGTGCAACAGTGTTTTTTCAAAGTATAATGGATGGGCAGGACTTCAAAAAGGTAATAGTATTCATAATGGCACTACACTAAATGCTCGACTAAACGTAAATGTGGAACAGTATGATTTAAATGATTTAGTTTATATGAAATATGCACAAATTACATCGGTTGACGTGGAAATGTCTTTTTCTATGTATAAAAATATATTAGCACCCAATAGAATGAGTTTTAATGAATGTAACTTGACTAAATTATGGTTGTAAATTCCTTTTTTTAAATTTAATTTTATGTGTACCTAATTGAAATTTGTTTTTTTAGAAATAAATTAATACCTAAATGCCTTTTCTGCTTTTTTTTGCTACTTAAAATGCTTCTTTAAAAATCCGAGCCCTACTCATTACTCATGAAGACTAGACAGTAGACACTAGAATATATCCTACCATTGACTAAAGAATAATATTATGAATTTCACCTTCACATGGTCAACTTTTTATAATTCCTGCTCTACCTGTTTACCTAGAAAGTCAAAGTTTCCCCAGATATGGTTAGGGTGACGTGTCTAAGCTACATACCATATTCAGTTCTACTTCTGGGTAAACAGGTATAACAGGAATTTACAGGAATTGAGCGCTATAAAAAAATAACAAGATTCTGGTTGGGGAGGTAATGTTTATACATTTAAAGGGTTACGGGGAAAAATATCATAGTCAAAAGAAAGAAAAAAATCAAATAATAATAGTACCTTTTGGTTAGTTTCAAATCGACACGTGAGTCGAGTTATGGAAAAAAGATCATGGTCAATGATAGGTATAATACAGCTTTAAGTATTACCATAACGGGAAAAAAGACCAGAGTCCCAAATACTGAACATTTTAGGAATATTGACTATTATCGTTTTTCCCCGTAATCCTTCAATTTGGTTCAACCTACAATTTTTCTTCACAACCATACCAAACTTCATAAATCCATACGGGTGCTCAAACACATACAATTTAATGTTTTTGGAAATATGTAAGAGTAAGTTATTTAAGAGACATAAAAGACACATTTGTATAAAATATTTTTGTTTACGTCTACAGCATACGACACAAGCAATCGTTTTGAGAAGATTGCATACGCCAGTAGATAGCATACGACACGTGTAGTACCTACCTGCAAACTTAATATGATTTGCAAATGTTTATGATTTAGACGAATTTTGTGAGAATTCTTACCTATAGTCGCTTTCCGGGCGGTACGTGGTATGTCGCGGTAGCTGTGTCGGCGTAGGAAGTAGGAGCAGAGATTCTTAGTGTTCCATCGATGGCGGACGGCGCAATCGAAAACTGACAAGACGTGACAAGTGGCAAATGTTGAACTGCGAATTGAGTAACTGACAAGTGACAACAGATGACCACGCGATCACGAATCACGACAACGAAACAATTAAAGTTTGTGGGTGTGATCCCACTGTTTTGTTGAGTTTAACGGCGTTTAATATTGTTATTATTGAATATATAAATAATAAAATAAAAGTAACAATATATCAATAGGTACAAAATGAATTATATGACTAACCGTGTTGACGTTGGAAGTAGAAGCAGCGATTCTCAGCGTTCCGTCGCGGTCGATGGAGGATTCTGTGCGAAACACGAATATACGGCGAGGCGCGAGCGACAAGACAAGTGACCACGAATCACGACAACAAAACAAAAAGCTGCGCCCGTGTGACGGGTGTGGATTTCGGTCCTACGGCTTTGTCGAGTTCAACGGCGTCGCGGTGTAGGCACAGTAATATTGATATTATTAAAAATTGAAATAAAAAAATATAAAATAACAATACTCAAGAGGTATAAAATGAACAATATGATTAACCGAAAACGTGTATACTCAATAGTCAATATAGTTATAGTATAACTTCAATATTATTATCACAGACTATATGAAAACAGATAGCTCACTCGGGATGTAAACAAAAAGTCAAAAACTATTGTGGCGAGCGTAGGTTTTTGGATGTTACAACTTACGCGGCCAACATACACAAGGTACGAAATAAATAATAATGTACTCTGAGACGGCTTGAAGTAGATAAATATTTATTGTTATTAGTCGGACGTAAATATTACAAAGTAAGATGAGACAATGCCGGTCACTAGCAGCGGGGACGGTGTCGAGTCGCGATGTTCTGTACCGACGCACGGGTCGGGATTATTACGCGATGAGAGTAGGTACGCCAGTGTCCGTCGCGGGGTGCGTGTTACGGGTCGTGTACTTGAGGGAGACCTGTGGTCGTGTTGCTGAGTAGTGAGTACTAAAAACGTGTAACGCGAGCACGCGGACGGAAAAGATGGCGGTTTCTCGAGCGAACTGTTAGAGCGCGATAACTCGTGGCGTGTGTGGAAAAGAATGTTTTTTCCAGTGGCAAAAAAGATGGCGGCGGTGCTCGGGACGGTGTCGTGTACGTCGGTTGCATAGACCTATTAACTATGGACAGCGCTTAGAGAGAGAAGTCAGCAAACGATATAGTAGGGTGAGAAAAGAAATAAAGTAGTGTTTTGCAGTGTGCCTACTGCCAAATAAAAAATTGTGATACAATAAAATCTTGCCGATCGTTATATTTCATTGATAACGTGATAAATATTGTGATTACTGATAGATGATAAAGGCATAAACCTATGGATAAAGAAAATGGAAAAAAAAAAGTTTAGTATTTCCTCCATGGTTCACTGCTTTATGCTCTTTCTCTCTCAGTTATATGATCATCTAGAATTGTGGGCAGTGCGGGTAGGAATGCGCTGTCCATAGTTAATAGGTCTATGGTCGGTTGACGGTTGCCGAGAGAGAGAGAGTGACAACACTGAGTCAGTGTTGTCACTCTCTCTCTCTCAAGACGTAATTTTTTTTTTTTATAAGAAATGTTCAAATTACCGTATTATTCTGACATTTTTACCCGTCCGTCCGCAGACCGTACGCATGCCAAAATTACCGTACGCCCCCAACCGGGTCCGTACGTATGGCAACACTGTCACTGACAACTGACAATTGGCAGCCGCCCGACACTTCGCGGGCGCGAACGACGCGGAGGGCCGAGCGGTGTTGCCAACGCAGGGAGCGCGACCGACATGGTGAGGGAGTATGTGGCGAAGGCACTGGTTCGCCACACCACAGAACACGGGTCCGTGCCACAGAATAATGACGAAACATCAAACAACAGACTACACTAGTTTACAAAACAAACACAGTTCAAATGTTCAGTTACTTCAGTACAACGGTAATACTGTATAGGCATATTGTTTATTTTGTCATGAACGTTATTGCTTCAACGCCACGGTCGTTACATAATACATTCGTTACAGACACAAGTTAGTAGTTACACGTTTACAACAGTCAACAGTAGAATTCTGAGTGCAACTACAGTCGTTACTCACTACCTACTCAGTCACTCAGTCTCGTCAGAATCGTCTACACCAATTTATAGTGGACTCTGCAGACTGCAGTTTAGTCGGAGTTTACAGTTTTACACTTTGCAATATTTTCGCGTACCTACGCATTGCCGAAGAGAGATCATCTGGATCTTAG